ATGATGATGGCTAGTAAAGGCCTTTCTCGGAAATGATTGTAGAAATGATGACATGTTTCAAACAACTTTTGACAGTAATGAGCTACACCCTAGCTATATTCACAGATCCACTAAGAAACATACCTTTGTTTCGCCTCCCGTGATCATCAGTCCCGACCCCAGACATCATCCATTTTGGTCATGATGTCTGTTGAGGCTCTTGACCCGTCCAAATAGACCCCAAACAAATCCCTAGCAGTTCCAGTCCCCCGTGCCAAGAGTCTTTGTTCCTGGCCAGTTGATCTGAATGAGAGGTGTATCCTGCAAAACGGACGAACAAATCGAAGCAAAACGGATTGCTTAGGACGTCTATAGATTTCTCCATCCACAACCGGCATGGTGGAAACCAAGTTCGAAGCACAAATAAGGCATCCCCCAGATTCTTCCACACGGAACGTTGGTTGCACCCTGCAGCAGCTATTTGTGCGATTAAATCAACAAAAGGAACACTGAGCACGCTTCTGCCTGAATGAGCACCGTTTATTGGGGTATGATCCAGCCAGCAAACTCTTCCTTTTGAACAGCCTGAGGAATTGACAAACATGCCCAAGGACGCTAGTAACATGGAGAAAACATACCATCATCGTTATTTACTATTTATTTACTATGCATAACTATAAACTATACAAAACTATACTGTATACATAGATAATATGTGTTTTGTTGTTGTTATGTTGTTTCTCTTGTGCCTGGTGGAAGTACTTTCCGCACCACCTTTCCCCACACCCGTTTCACCGGTAGACCGGCACCCACCGGGAACCCGCGAACCTTGGGCTTGCGCTCCGGCAAGATGGCGAAGCCGATGAGGCGCAAGGGGGCGCCGATGAGGAAATCGTGATAGATCCCCAGCACCGACCTCGGAGGGGCCCAGGTCGAACCGGGACCGGTCGTGCGTGCATCAACCGGATCGGGGGTCGGATGGGTCGGACGGGTCATGGCTGGCTGCCCTGGTCCCAAATGATGGAGATTTAGACCTGGATGGATGTGTTTCCTACTGTGCCACAATCTTCTGCCCAGCTTGGCTGTTATTTGTAAGCTTTAGCATCGGTCCGCTGCCAAAATGGTGGCTGCATGAGATTGGCTGAGATTTGGGCATCGGTCCCTACATGGAGGTGGTCGATCATCGTTTTGGGATCTTTGCGGAACTGATCTTTGGGCCATTTTGGGCCCATTATCTTCAGGCATTTAACTCAATTGTTCATGGAATTTCTATTAGTTCTCAGTGACTTGGATCTTAAATGGTGCTTGAGGGCATGGGGGCAACCATGGCCCAAATCCTTTGGGGATCCAACCAACGGATGAACCGATGTTTTAGGTCACCGGCCTCCGGCGCCTCCTCCGGCGCGCCCTGGTTTGTCCTGTCCTCCGGGTCGGGTCGAAGCGACAAGATCTTGGTGGTGCCGAAGAGGATGAAGTTCACCTGAGCGGTGCACCAGGTCGCAACCAACAGAGGTTGAAAGACCTGACCTAGGACCCGGAAGACCTGGGGTACCAGAACTGGGATAGTCTAGTTCGGGTCATTCAACCTCGGAAGGATGACGAACGAACGAGCTCTGAATGGCAGGAATGTTGGTCCCGATGGTTACTCCCCCCCCACAGAGTGTTTGGTTTCTAATGGAAAATGCAGGTGCTCCACTGACTGGATACAATATATTATATATAATCTATTCTTGGAGCCCCATCAGAACATATTGGCAACATAGTGATTAGGCACCAGGAGTCAAAAAGGGGTAGTGTTTCGTCCCATCCAGTGAGTGGAGTAGTAGATAATGGGCACCCCTAACCTCCATTTTATCGGCACCCCGTCTTGTAACTCCTGGACCAAAACCTCCGCACTTGGCAGATGTAGTTCTTCCCGTCCTGCAGGAGTGAGATCGGAGACTAGTCTTATCTCCAAGCAGGCTGGTCTTCTGGGCTGGTGTGTGCAGCTGCATCGAAGCCCCGAACGAACAAAGGCAACGCATCGAAGCCCTGAAAACTGGAAGCGGAGGCATCTCCCGAAGCTGGGCATGTTCATCGTGTCTGGGAAGGGGTCATCTAAGTCTGATACGTACTGTAAATACCACGTGCTCTGGTTCACCGTTCATCCCCAAGGTTTTTCAGCAAGCTCAGGACAAAATCAGAAAAAATAATGCGTTGGATCTATCCGATTATAAGAGCCCCGTGGATGATGATGGTTCAGTTGCAGGCCCTGTTTCAAAAGTAGTGAAGATCTAATTATATACCAGGGCCCCGTCAATGATGGTTCAGTTGCAGGCCCTTGTTCCAAAATCGCAATATGTGAAACTTGTTGACTCTTACAGGTCAGTTACAGGCCAGTTCGGACAGACAACGGCAATGTGACGCGCCAGTTCGGCCACTCGGCGACTCAAACGGCGTCGCAACACGGTCCGAGGCCAGGCCACCGCAACGGCAAAGACCGTTCCTGCGATCACCGTGTCGATGGTTTCCTGAAAGCGCCGGAGAGGTCGGTCGTACTCAAACGTTGCCAAGCGAGGCAAGGAAACAGTCTTCTCCTATCTTCTCCCAAGACCTGCTTGGACATCACGGTTCTAACAAACAAGCCCAGGCAGTGCGTCTTATGAAATCTTTTTGGTGCGGTGTGTCTTGTTCCCTTTTTCTTTTTTGTCCACCCTTTGGTGACACATGTTCAGAATCATCACTTATCAGATCCAGCAAGTCTTTCAGGACACAGGAAGCTTGACTTGAAGCCATTCCCACATGCAGCCATGGGCCTGGTCCTGCCTTTCCCATAAGGTCCATTTCAGGCATGTTCCCTGTGCTAATCCAGGATCCAGCTCGCATCATGCACCTAAGCCTTCGGGTCCAGCCGGAAGCCCCGGCCCCGTTTGCCCCGTCCCTCCCCAAGCGCCGAACTCGGCCCAGGCGTCGTGGAACGGGAGGATCCACCCCAGGCCCTTGCGCTGCACGAAGGGCACCACCGCCTCGTAGACGAAGGACTCCAGGACACAAACCTCCAACCTGGTGCAGGTCTGGTTGGAATGACATGCAAAAAGTGTGTCTTTGTTTCGGCGGAGGGCCCCTGGATTTGTTCAAGGCTGCCATGGCCATGGCTCTGTTGACGAATTGTGAGGAATTGAACTGGTAACTGGTACGAGTATTGAACTGCTTTCTTTTTGTCGTTTTGGGGGGGCAACATCAATGTTGGACATGGTTGGACAGTTGGACCATTTCACCATTCTGACCGCTCGCTGGGCTCAAACAAAAGGTACCTCTCCTGAGCTCGGCCAAGGTCATTCTCTGCATGGTCAGGGGGCGTAGGTATTCCAAACAGTGGTGTTGTGAGCAGGGATGGGGAAAGTGACCAAACCAAGCAAAAAGACTTGATTAAGAAAGGGAGTTCGGGAACTTCATCACGTCGGACTGAAATGTTTCTGTGAATTTCAATGAGGTTTCTTGTTTGTCAACGAGGTGAATGTAATTAGCATGTACAAAGTCTAGTCATCCAACCAAGAAAGCAACACACAGTGGCTTCCCAGCCCCTACATGCCCCTACTACGGATTCAAGACAAACTTGCGCTATTAGCTCCTCCATCCTTTTGATCCCCTAAAAAGGCGCCTCACACACATCCCACCCGAAGCCTCCACACCCAAGTCCCAGATCTGAACCCCCATCATCATCATCATCCTCATCCTCATCCTCATCATCCTCATCCTCATCCGCATCCTCATCATCCTCATCCTCATCCTCATCCTCATCCTCATCATCCTCATCCTCATCCTCATCCTCATCCTCCTCATCCCTTCTCCTTCCGAAGCAAGGCCCGTTCTCTCCACTTCCGCAGACCCCATCGGCCTCACCCGCAGCAAGGCTTCGATGGCCAGGGGCCGGTACTCCGCCCCTTCGGAGCCTAACAACCCATCGGCCGCCGCCTTGCCGAAGCCGTAGAGTCCATCGCCTCACGTCCCCCGCGGGCGACGGTCCGACCCGGACCCAGTGAGACGACGACCCGGTCCCGGGAAGCAGGGAGGATGGAGGGCGGGCCGGCCAGGGCGGACGGGCCAGGGCGGTTGAAGCGTCAAAACCCTATAGGGCCCTATAGGGCTCCTGGCCCACCTCCAAGACCTGAGAAAATGGTTGGGGTGGATGGATTTGGGGGGGTCTAACCACCGAATCTGAGGATATTTGGTTGGAGCCCTAAGGAAAAAAGGGAACAGCAATAGATCATGGCCCCTGGGCTCCTGAAAAGAAAAGGGAAAAACCAGTAGTAGATAGAAGGAGCAAGTTGTTCCGCAACTCTTAGGTGCGACACTTGTCCTTCACAAGGGAAACCTCGTCTTGGCCACCCCAAATTGTTGGAAGTATCAGTTTTTCAGGGTTGGCAGTTTCCTGCCAAGGCACTGGCTGGGCAAACAGGCCTGAAGGTCTCCGGGGTCAAATCCTGCACATGAAGCGAAGTGAGGGAGGGGTTGAGTTCTCTCGCAGCCCCCCCCAATAGAAAACAGAACAGGTGCTCTTGCGAGATGATTTCTGTGCTCTCTCAAAAGTCTTTTTCTGACCGGTGCAATAGGAATCTTGAGAGGGCCCAAAACTGTTAAGCACAAGCTCTGGACCACCTCCACGGGCGTTTCGGGCCCCCCATCTCTGTTCAAACCTGAGGTCAGGTGACCCCAAGATGTAAGAGGTGTGAGGCGCCAGGTGGTTCAAGTGGCAAAAATGCTAGATCCCTCAAATTGTAGGTACCATGTGCCTTGTTGCATGCATGTGTTCAACACATGTGAGGTCGACAATTCATGAAAACACCCCCAAACTGCTTGCGCTGGGCTGTTGCTGAGGGTGTGCAACCAACCAAGCAACCAAACAAACGAACAAACCAAGCAGCCAAACCAAGCAACCAACCACTTCGCACGAATGAATACTGGTCATTAGGGCTCCAAGTACCTCCTTTTAAGGTATTTGGATCCTCTAAACCCACCCCAGTCCCACCTTCTTAGAAGGTACGAATGGAGCCCTAGGAGGTATGTTTTAGATTTCCCGAGAGAGTGTGTTGTAGAATCGGTCAACAACTCCTGGTCAACCCTTCCAGGGTAACATGCGCCACCATACGCTTGGTGCAAAGCCAGTGTGGCGGTTTGGAATGCAGGAAACAACACCGGCTCCTGGAAGACCCATGTTTGTGTTTTTTTCCTGCAATGGTTCTATGCCCATCATGACCTGTTAACATTCAGCAATGTGCCATTTGGTAGGAACATGTAGGAACAGGTTCTTCCACATGTAGGGGCCAGGGGGATGTTCAGCTTCCATTAAGGCCTCCTGTGCATCAAACAAACACGTGCAAAAGTCAGTCCAAATGTAACCCGCGTTTAAAGTTTAGGTGGTATATATTCTGACAGTCTATACATACAAACCCCCGGTAGATAGAGGAGTAGAAATGGAAACCGGTTCTATCTATTTGGGGACCACTATATGTGCCATTGGTTGCCTATGGTGCGGGCACAACAAATTTCGTGATGGAAGGCTGTCAATCCCCCCACAACCCCACTCTGCAAAACACGTGGAGCGTTGGTAACGATGAGGCTCCAAGTTGTGGATTACACCAGCAATGTGTCCACACTGTGGGTGTGGACCCAATTTCACATTCCACAACTGAATCTAGAGAAAACTCATGCTCAAGAGGAAAAACCTCTTTGCTGGTAGAAAGATATGGGCGAGTTTGGAGTGATTTCACATGACTTGACCGATTTGACCCAAGCCGCACATCAGCTGAGCAGTCCTGCTCTGAAAGCCCCAAACTGACGCCTTCCTGCGCCAGTGCTGCTGAGGCCATGGCCATGCCACCAGCCACCGCCGCCGCGCCAGTGGCAGCAGTCCTGCAACTGCCCAAAGGCAAAGGAGGTCAAACCAGGATTATCCAATGGGTGTCCAATAGACTACCCCGGCCCCACTACTTATAGGTCTCCATTGGGCACCCATTGGAAGTGCTAGGAAGGAGATTCGAAGGGGGCCGGGATCAGTCCACTGATAGGACGGATGACCAGTGACTGCTTGTCTTAGGTTTGCATGAATTCAGTGGAACTCTTTAGTAGAAGGATTCCGAAACAAGCCCAACCGTTCTTATCCATGATCAACTCTATTTAAATGGAGAACGGATGAGATGGAGAAAGGCTCAACGGACATCTTAAGAAGGCTTCGCCTCAAGGGCAGACGCGCAGGGATTCAGTCTGATCATCCCTGGGGGCCTTTCTATCTCTATAGCTGTATTGCCACTCATCAAACAGGATGCCCTGAAAACAGCGTTCATGCCAGGGCGCTTGAGGACATCTGGCGGGGGGGGCTCCCGAGACGAAGGTGCTGGCACAAAGGCCCAGTGTCTGCAGCTTAGCAAAAGCAAGGCACCCAAGACCTTAGCGACGTGGCGCTTGGCGCGCTCAGCGTGCGCTGTCACCCTGTGCGCGTTTTTTCAAGCTACGAGACCTGGAAGAACGTAGAAGGTGCTTCCTTGGCATGAACGTAGAGCACCTTGCCAACCTGATTTTTTTGGAACTGGCTCCTTAGGTTCAGCCTTTTTTGAGCGTTACCATTCGGGACTGCGTTCGTCCCACTCATGAACCATCTAGAACCTTGATTCTATGCACATACATTATCGCCAATGTACTTCAACCCCCAATAACGAAAAGGCTTTACAAACACAGGAAGTAAGGGGTCCTACTAGCTTTGGACCTTAGGGTTTCAAAACACACGAAAAGGCTGTTTGAGGCGTAAGGAAGTATCATCTAAGATGTCTTAAAATGGTCTGGGCTTGAACTCCCAACGCGGCCGAGTGACCAGCACTGCGAGCCTCGAGGCGCGAGCTGGCAAACGCCAAAGCGAACGAGAGCTGCCTCCTGAGAGTGCCGAACGGGAGGAGCCAGGAGTGCCGAAACCAAGACCTGCTGAGAGGGTGTGCGTTGGAATAGATCAGAGCCTCACAGCAAAGGATTGGTCTACAAACTTCTTGAAATCATCATGGTTGATGTGGATGCCATGGCCTCTGGAGAAACCATGAACTGTTCTACACACCAGGGGGTGAACTCCACTAAACCATAGGCAGTTGGAAGGAGGTCCATGTTTCCTCTTCCATGCATTCGCCTCTTCCATTGAACATCCACACCCAGTTGGCCAATACAGCAGCAAACCACCAGCTGTTGGGTGGGCAACAAAAACATGAGCTCTTGGCACATCTTGGCACCCTATGTCCAGAATTCACCAGAATTCACATGTTTCGGGGTTGTCATCTTTTTCAGCTGCTGGCCAGGTCCCTAGTCTAAGAATCCTGACATATACTCGATCAGCTTTACGAGGCTAAAGGAAGCCCAGAAATGCACTTGACAAGGGGCACAAAGCTTGCGATGCCACATCAGAATCAAAACACAAAATTACAACTAAATCACCCACACACACACATATAATATATATTTCTCACATTTTTGGTTGGCTGTGACGAGTGTGGATATTTGAGCTAAATATCATACCGCTGATCCTTTGTTGCGGCAAGCAACGACACAACCTTTGTTGATGCAAAAGAAGCCTCCGGGAAGGCCATGGTTGGTTTCTGGTGTTTCTTTGGGGCCAAGTCGGCTAAAAATCCCCCTAGTCTGCTAACATCCCCACTTGCTTCAATGCCAGAGCTGTTTGGTCTTGTCTTGGTGAGAGACCCTGAGGACCTCTGGTCTCCGTTCCAAGTCTCGGGATCTGAGCCGATTCGGTCGCTCCATGGCGAGAGGCTCATGACAGCTTACGAATCCCCCAGCTGTCTGACTTGAGCCGACCAAAAGCCGCGCGGAACAGGACCATCGACCAGAATCTAGAAGAAAGCCATAGAAAGTCATCGGCACACGGATCTGCAGGTTGAACATGTTGATCTTGTGTTGGGGGTGACTGGTTGGTTTCTTCACCAATCGAATCAAAGACCGAGTAGGGGAGTGTTCTTCTTGGTCTTTGATTCCTACTCTGACTGTTTGGTTTCGAGGCTGCTGACTGTTTCGCGGCTTCAAACCCCCTTCAAAAGGTCGGACCGGACGTCCACCGCAACGCCGGCGGGAAGTCCGGAACCACCGCGTGGCCGGGCCAGTGCCAAACGTTGGATGCATCGACTGCATCTACCAGGCGGAGGGAAGTCTGATCCAGGTGCAGTGGGCAAAAGCTTTGCGAACGCACTTTCAACGAGGTGAGAAGCGACACCTTTGCGAACAACCTCGCCAAATTGGAGCAAGCGCCTTTTCGATTCTAACCCTGGAGATCGAGTTGGGTCGCGAGCGCTTGGGACTGCTCGGGGCGCCCAACCGAATAGGGAGGTTGTTCAAAAAAGCCCGAAAGAAAGTCATCAAAGCATGGAGTCAATGGAGAAAAGCCTCCAAACCCAGGCAAAAGTGGACCAATGGACAGGTTCCGCACGGGTGAACAAGTCCTCGTGAATCCCAACAGCAATCTATAACAAGGCCTGAGTAGACCACAAATCGTATTTATGATCATCTTAGCACCACTGGCTTCATGCAACCCTGCACCAAGGGGACTGAAGGTCGAGAATTCCATCGAACGGGACGGAGGGCTCCCAGGGTTTGGACGTCGGCAGCCAAGGATCGTCTTCATCTTCCTCCTTCTCCATCTTAACCTCAGCTCTACGGAAGTTTCGGGCCACTTCGGGGTGTAGAACCATGTCAATGTAGGGCCAGGGCCACTTGATATACCTGTGGCTTCAGGTAAAGTAGATTAAACTAAACTCTTACAATCCTGCCTCAAAAAGCCTGTATATAGATCCTGTAGAGTCATGAGCCTCATGATTATAACGGTGTCCACTTTCTGCTCGCAAGCATCTCTGAGGGATGTCTTGAGCACAAATACCGGTTTTGGGGGGCGTTTGGCGTTGCACAAGACCTGTAGGTCTGCTTCTGGGGCAGCCCACTCCGCAGAACATCTACAAGCCTCTGACGCTGGGTATCTCTCCCCTCTGCTCGCTCAATCAACAAACAGGGGATGACCACCAGCAGGCCTCAACCCGAAGCTCGACTGAGGCATCCGGCGGCATGGAACTCCTACAGGCATGGAACAAAAGGAATGATGCTTCGCTCTGCCCAATGGCGAATTGAGCTAATCCCTCCGCGGTCGGTTACTAGGGGATCATCCAGAAAAGCTCCGGCCCACCTAAGGATCGTGTTTGTTTCAGTTTCATCCACGCTTGTTGTGTGAACACACCAATAGAACACTGGTTCGTTCGCTTTGGGGGTCCCCAAAATCTCTACACACTCCCTGAAAGAATCACGGTTGCGTGGATGACACCGCTTGGATCCGCTTGAGACTGGTCTTCGGATCATCTCTGCAAAAACATGCCATGCACTTCCACCGTGATGACTTCAGGGCGTGTGCAATCCTCAAACTGTTCGAGCCATCGCTGAAAAAGAAACTCCTGCAGCACCATCAATCCCACTGCCCAAAACAAACAAGCAAACAAACAAACCATGTTCCATTCTCCAAGTTCTTGAGCACTGGAGCCCTAACTCCTCACAACTCCCCCGACCCCAAGAAAAATACAGCCTTTTTCAAAAAAGATAGTGAACCGGTTAAAAACAACGTAAACTTAAACACCAAAAAGAACCGGACCGTTTTCAAAAAACGACAAACAACAAACAATGAACGAAGGACGTGTTCGTCTCCTGCTTCACTGGAATGGTGGGCTCTGACAACCGGTTGGGTCTTCGGCGCTTCGCGGGCGGTTCCTGGCAACACCGGCAGGTTTCGGTGGCATGTCCAGTGTCACCGAGAGGAAGTCGCATTTTGGTGATTGGTTTGGTTGGAATTCGGTTTCGTGATGCTGCAACTGTAGAAGGTCAGGTACAAACAATTAGGCAAAGATCGTGACTGGTGGCTGAGTCCTCGTCTAAGTGGCACATGACAAAACATAACAAAACATCCAAGAAATGCCCGCAGGCTGAAGCACCACAAGGATCCTCCAAACAAAAATGGATATGTTGAGGAACCCTTTGCATGGTTTCTACTATGTAAATGGTTCACGTCAAAGCAACAGTATACACAAGCTTCCACCAAACTGGGCATTCAACATTCTTGAGGTCATTGCATATCATGTGTTGTTTGGTTACCTACTTCATCCCAGCAAACATGTGACCTGAAAGAAATGCACGTTGGAGTTCCGATCGAAGGTGGGAGATCCTTCTGACGTTGACTCTCAAACTCTCAAGCTTTTCCATCTTGGGTAGCACCTATAGTCACATCTTACTACCTTCTCTACAGTTTCGACTATGGGCCTTGCAAACTGCTTGGCGTGTGCAGCACGACCCAAAACCCGGTTCGGGATCTCCCTTTTTTGAACCTCTAATTTATATACACCAATGTGTTGTGAGTGGACCTGCAGGATTTCCGTAGGATTCCGTAGGACTGTAGGGGTTGGAAGACTCGGAAGAAAACGACTGGCACGCCCGACCGAGTTCTTTCTGCGCAAAATGACAAGTCCGTCCGCCTTCCTTCCAGGAGAGCGGAAAGGGACATCCAACACGTGCGGCGAAGCCCCATGCAACTGAAGCCCCATGCTTTTAACCAAATGAAATCAGGGTCAACAGTTCAAAAGTTCCACAAGGGTTCAAACCCTGTTCCATCCTTGCCCACTAAACCTGATTTCGAGTCCGTTGCGATACCACTTGCGATACCTTACGGTGGTCCCACAAAAGCACCACCCACCTCGCCGTCAAGCTGTTGACCTGTGAACCTGTGTTCACCTGCACGCCATCATGTTTAACCATAAGAGTTGGGGTACAGGATGCTCTGACTCCCAAAGTGTCTCTGGACCAAAACCAGTGGACAAAGGTCCACCTGTCGTCCACCTGGAGTCCACCAAGGTCTTGAAACCCAGTTCCTAGGAGTGCTGCAGGTCGGTTCCCACGACTTATTCAAAAGGGAACGAACGGCAGGACCCTGTATCCTGTAGCGACATCCAGCCGAAGTCAGGACATTTCTCAAGACCTATGACCTGATTCATGCGTCACAACGGAACTCCTGGCTTGACTCATCAAGAATTGGATGTAGAATGATGCAATATCGATATCCTATTAGTGTGCTCTGTGGATCTTGCCCGCAATCAACCATCTTGCCCGGTTCCAAATCGACGGGCTAACCTGGAACTTCCAGCTCCCAGGAAGCTTTGGATCTATCTGGTTGGTGGTAACAAATGAAACATACGAATCAAGTACAGGTTTTACACATCTGAAATCACCACCCAGCGTTATATAGTCTTTAGTGGATGGCCCTCTTCTCCTCCATGCTAGCGAAGGCGCAACTGGTTGTCCTGTCTGGAAACCCCTAGCCCTAGGCAGTGTAAACTAGTCCAGCCAAGCCAGGACACCCAGCCAGGATGGTCCTGGGTATTGAGGGAAAAGCCTCAGCTCTACTGAGCTAAGAGTACATATGGTGGACACGAATGGACACGGTAGCTTAGATTGCTCATGGCCACTGGCATTTCCCAAGAGCTTTGGTCACACGCATGTCAACCATCATATCATATGAGCCTTTCATGCTCGTGCTAAAGGCACACTTGATATGGGCGTGTTAAAATAGAGACCCAGTTCCACCACAAAGTTGAAAGGAAAATCTGACGAAAACCCATTGGCTAGGGATTTTTGGGATCTTCATCTTAAAACACACACCCATTTGCAAACCTCTTAACCATTCTTAACCCGGTGCAGCTTGGCATGTTGTCTCCAAACTTGGCATGTTGATGCCCCGCACGGGTCGGTCAGGCCCGAACCATCACTGAGATGGCACCAGGGTCGCGGTGGTTCGTGAGCCAAACAGGGATACCTTGCATACCCATGCATGCATCGACGTGAGCCAAACAGGACAGGTGATTGCACTCTTTTGAAATCCACCTGAAGGCAACCCTGGCGAGAATGGAAGCTAGCAAAATCCAGCGGTCGTTGGTAGGCTCCATGGAGTCCCTAGAGGGCAATCTATGGCCACCCTCCTTGAATCCTGGATCCTCAGGTGGAACTGCTTAGTTAACTCTAGCATGACTCCGCTGGTTTCGGGGCTCCTGGAGGTATTTTTTTAAACGTCTCCAGGGCGCCGATCCGACCACTCCGACCACGTTTGATCTGACACCTCGCAGTACATGAAATCGGGGGCCTTTTTCAGCTCGAGAGCTCGAAGCCGCTCGTCTGGCACAAGTTGTTCCACGAGGGGCGAAGGTCCTGACGGTGGACTTACGACGTGGGGCGCAAGGTGTTTGCATCGCAAAGGATGTGCCCAAAGCGAAGCCATTCCGAAGACACATTGAAAATCGTTGTATGGTATGATCATCGAGTTCAGTCTACAGTTCTGGACTTGAGGTCATATTCTCAAACCCCAATTCTCTGTTCATGTCTGCCTGGCCCCTGGCACTTTTGCAGGGCTTGTCATGCTCGACTCACCGACTTCTTGGACCCGTTCTAAGCGCGAGGCGGGGAGCTTCAGCGGTTCTGATAGAAGTCCTTCACTTGAGCCGCCAGCGACTCCTGAATTGGGCGGAGTTAGCGGCTCTCTCTATACCTTCACCATATGTTTCAAAGGGTTTGGATCCCAACAGACCCGAATTCATTGCTTGATTGAGGTGGTACAACCCTATCCGTGATGGTTCGCTGGGTCTAGCTCAATCCTCCACCTCTTTGGACCGAAAGACGCATGACCAAGCCGGGCCCGAAGCACCTGCAGTGACTGCCTGGTTCCTTTTGTAATCCCTGGTTGGAGTTGAGCCACTAGCTCTTTTACAAGATCTACCCGGAGAACAATCTCACTTCTTCTTCTTCTTCTTCTTCACGGCGCATATATCATAGAAAGATCCGCCCTTCCAAAATCAA